GAAGAATCTTCGTTGTCTAGTGAAGATCAGCCATAGGAAAGCCGCTTTGCAAACCACTGATCAGCTGTTTAAATAGCTGTCTTGCGAAGCTTAGGTCCCGAAAACACCCGTTTTGCGAGCGCGGAGGGAGCTGTCAAAATCGTCGTCTAGCGAAAATTGGTTTGCGAAGCAGGGACCAAACATTGTCCAGCGAAATTCCCCCATAGGAATCACTGTTTTGCGAATCTCTATAGTGATCGCAAAAAGTCAATGTCTAGCGAAAAAACTGTCATGCGAGGTAACTGTCTAGCGAGGCACCACTGTAGTTCTTAATTGAAGTAATACCCCTCTCTTTGAATGGTCTTTATAAATGTAATCCCACTATCTTGGGTGCTTGTTTCTTCACTGGGTGAATCCTCAGCCAAGCAAGCCCCTGATCATTCCTCCTGGGCATCATCCCAATCTCCTTCCTCTAATTCCTCCTCTTCTCAGGGTTCTCGGAGAGTCCTCATTCTCTTCTTCCTTTCTCTGCCAATTCATCCTTAGATTTCTCTTCAGTCTCTCCCAAGTCACCTTGCTATTCTTCCCCCTGACCTGTCCCAAATTCCTCCTCTTTTTCTCATCCCCCCAGGGGTTCCTTTCCTTTCTGGTACTTCCTTTCTCTCATCCTCTTTTGGCAGTAAGGCAGCCTACCATGTGTTGGGGAAAAGTAACTTCACCTTCTCTCTTACTGGGCACCCTCTGTTTCCTAAGGCTGACATGACCACATAGGGACTCCACCTGACTCTCGCTTTTCTGGGCTCTACATGCAATAATGCCATCCTGTGCAGAGTGTTGCATAGGAGCCCTCATGATTGGCTCACTGGGAAGTTGGTTGGCTCATGCCAGACCTGGGTTGGAGTTTGACAGACCACCAGGGGAATACCGGTCCATGTCTTTTTCACAGCTTTATTTCTGAAATATTTTATATTCTTTCTAGGACAGACAAAGCTCTGATGTTCAATACAACGGAGACAGTAGCCATGGATCGTCTCACTTTAACTCCTATGAATGAATATGAAATGTGCTAAAAGTATAGACCAGTACAGTACTATAATGGAGGAAAACCTTCTGCTTTGTTCAGACAGTACAAAACCCACAACTGACAAAGTATGCCTTGAAAGTACTTGGACCAATAATCCACGTTCTGAGCAAAGAAAAGCTAAAACCTGCGCTCCATTTGAACACATCCTGTAAAACATTTGAACCAATATGCAGCTCTTTATGTGCTTATTTTGCAATCTCGTTGTGAGAACAAGGGAACTATGAGAAATGCTGAAGCCCTCTCCTACAGCCATCTGAAATTCAACTGTCCATTCGGCACCAGAGAGTTAAGCAGACACGGCGCTCACATTTTCCACAAATTCTGATTGCACGCATAAGGACAAGAAATAATTGAAACAAGGACTTAGATTTTCACGAAACTGAATTCTGCACCTCAAACGCCGTTCTGTACTCCTCCTATAAGCTTATTAAATCATGGCATAAACAGTCCTGGGAGATAGATCCAGCTAAATCTGATGGAATCACAAAGTTGCAGTACGGACCGTGCTGGCTGCCATTTCAAAGCAAAAACTTCGTTAGTGGCAGTGAAGACAGGACTTGAGCCAAGTTGTCATTTCAGTCTCAGCTGTATGCCTTGTTGCTTGTTACAACAGCAGGTGCCCCACATAATTACTAAGCTACTTTTTATTCCCTGTTAATATATATGTAGAAGTGAGATAATGTTGCATGAGCACAATCATGGTTTGCACTTACATTCTGCTACATCATGGCCCATTATCTTGACTGGTTTCATCCTTATCCTATCTCCCTCTCGGTCTCTGTGAAGGACTCCGGTTAATGGCAAAAGACTATCTTTGTATCCCAAAGAACTGGGTGATCCCATCTATTTTCCTATTGGTGCATCCTCAACATCCACCTTCTTTTTTACGAAAGCCTTGTCATACCTCCTAAGTCCCATTTCCTGCTGTAACTCAGCCATATTGTGTGCAACCGAAACAGTGTACAGTAATATTGTTTCTCTGCTTACACCTGCTGTCCTTTCTCTTCCTCTGTTTTTCCCCCCAACTACAATAGCTTCCTTAGCATGTTTAGTAAACCTGCTGTCCTTTCTCTTCCTCTGTTTTCCCCCCAACTACAATAGCTTCCTTGTGTATTTTTATACTGCTGTGTATTTTTATACTGCTGTACCTGTGATCCCAAGAAGAACAGCAATGCTATTGCATAAAATGGATTAACATTCTTTGTGGATTACCACTGATTTAAGACATTTGCAGATCTCAAGATGGTACAGTATCCAAGATGGAATGCAGCAGAGTAAATACAAAATAATTGATAAAAGCTGGTGGTAAATGAAACTGTTGAAGATACCTAGTCAGTAGTTGCAGTGAGCCACCAGTAGTCTGGTAAAATACAATTCAGGAAAAAGCCAACGAGAACAAATGGAAGTTTTAGGGCTTTCCTGGAAACCTTGGTAGTGAACTCTGTTTGGTATATATTTCAGGGATATGAGGCTGCTGCAGAAAAGCCCTTTTCTGCCCAAGCCCCATCAATCTGGGTGCTCTTGGAATTGCATGGACAAGTTGGACCTCTGTTGTGGATCTTAAGATGCAGACCTGTTGCTGTGGGTGAAGTTGATACTTCCACGTGGCCCCTAAGCCCTGTAATAAAGGATGTGGCCAGCTAAATGTATATGGTTCTCTATACCTCCACCTCTCAGGAATTCATGGAGTGCTCCCCTGAACATAGATGCTTTTCCATTGGTATGCTCTAAGAGGTTTACCACTGGAAATTAACCAGGAAGCCATGCACATCGCTTCTAAGTACTGTATATAAATCAGTCAACATTAAATATCTGAGCTCCTGGGGGAAAAGAGATGGCTTTATAGGAACTTGGTTATGAATTCCCTCCCCCCCCCAAAAAATGTATGTGTTTCTTAGCTATGGGGCCAAAATCAGTCAGGAATATACATTTGAATCCTTATCTTGCTGCATGATTATTTTTATTAAGCTCAATGGTGTAATGCGGGCAAACAGAAGATTCATGTTAAATGCCGAGCTGGGAGAGACACAGCTTCACTTCTACCACACACTCCCACACTCTAACCCAACTGGTGGTCTGCTCCTTTTTTACCCTGTATTTTGAAGTGAAATGTATAGAGACAGATCCACTTGGTTCCTTGCCTTCTGCCAGTATTGTAGTTACTTATTTACAGACCTGCTGTTGGGTTGGTACACTTGTATGGGAGATCATTTTTGTGTGTGCTTGTGGGTGTCCCACTGCCTTCGTTAAAAAAGCAACAGTTATTGAGAAAATGACAAGCTTTTGAAATGCTTGTCAATTCCTTTGGTTAAAAAAGGACATGCTGTTACAGCATAGGTTGTGAGATTCCTCTGGCGCAAGATTTGAAAGGCCTCACATCCTCTTTAAATTACAGCCCATCTTCACACAATAGGACTGTGGAGTAGCTTTTTTTTTTTTAACGGCAATGTGACACTTCACAAATCCACCCAAGTTTATTTCCTTTAAATGCTTTATCCTGCATGTGCATCCCCCCCCCTCCCTTAGTATTGGGTGATTTTTTTTGAATTAGCTTTAGAAAAGATTACATGGATAAACACTGCATTGTCATTGTTAATAGAAAGCTGTGCAGTGAGGTCTGTGGGTTGCAAGATCAGTCACAGTGCCAATGACAGTGAAGTATGGCCTTATCGAAAGGCGAATTCAGAAGAGGCTGCCCTGGGACACTCTGCCACTGTCCTTCTGTGTATCCTGACAATGTTATCTGTCCTCTCAGTACAGAGTATCAAATGTCTGTCATGAGTATAGAAATTAATTTAATGTCACCTGAAGACATGCAATTAATCTTTTGGAGGTTTTCATAATACCTTTACAGAAAGAGTTGCCAGTTTGGCGGATTTGGATTTTGGGGTTTAGTTGAAGATAAGGAAAATTAATTTTTCATCAGGGTTAATGCGAGCCAGCAGGGCCACAAAGGCTGAGAGAGATGGTTGGGGAATTTGTCAAGTGTTGTCACTCTGGAATAATGCTGCTTAACGTCTGATAGGTGTAATCAAGAGTTGAGATTTCTATAGAAGGGGATTAATCAATTTGCTCACTACAGAATGCGCGTTGGTGATACCGCTCGTTCGTGGGGTTTTAAGAATTAAAATAAGATTTGATCTGTCAAATTTCAAGACGCTCTGACAGTATCAATGGGGCAGGGTTTTTTTAAAAATCAGGACATCCTCAGAGCATTTGGTATAAATAAATTTGTTCAGCTAATATTGGTGGCAAACAAGCTACATTATTGTGAAAGGTCAGGGCATTCATGATAGAGAGTGCACAGCTTATAAAATTCTGAGACTCCTTCATAGGTCTTACTTATTAAAGTATATAGTTTCATTTTTACATCATTACATGACCTCATCTTGGAGGTGGTGATAAGCTTAATTTTCTGAAATTAATAATTCAATAGGAGACAGTCGGGCCTCATTCAGCTTTGTTTTTGACCCTTTCAGCCATCCAGAGCTCTAAGCTGACTTACAGGGCACAAATAGCAAACTCTGTATCTTTAGTTATCACCAGAAACTGGTTAAGCATTCTATAGTTGTTTAGTACAAATTGGTAATTAGATAGCATTATAATGGATTGCAGCTATGTAATCTCTTTACATTTAATTGTTCATATTGTAAAACAAGGATGGGGAAGACATATTCCATTTGCGTTTCAACACTTCCGTTGTTTGTTTCCAGTATAGGTTTATTGCCTCCATAGATTACCCATCCTGGCTAACTGAGTAGGCTCTCTTTGTCTCCATTTCTGAGAAATGGCGTGCACAGGAACCACTTGCCAAGACCTTTTCCCACTGAGGCAGGTCCCATCTTGAGCAGAATCATACTTCATATGCTATGTACAAGTTGACTGGGTTCTAATTGTGCATTTCACAGATCTTGGTGTGTTCTTGCTTCCCCTCCAGGGTGGCGAGAATGTTGGCTTTCCTCACTCTGAAGGACCTTCTCACCGGCTTCAGCTGCCACCAGAGCAGAGATATCAGCCAGTCCGGAAGGTCACGTTGACGCAGGGCACAGTACAGCAGCCGCATCAGGCACATCCGCACCAGCTGGCACAGATTCACTCCACACTTCCTCCTGGGCTGAAAAACATCCCAGGGATACATCAAGCGAAAACGGTATTGATTCATACTTCCAGAAACAACTCTCTGTGGCTATTCGATAGCTGCAGCATCATAAACTGTATCCAGACATAAGTTTATCTAGTGAGTGCTTTATGTCCATTTATCAAGGAGGTATGAACCTCATAAAGGACGGAGGCAGCCTTGAATCCACAGCCTTTAAATACACACAGGGAGGAGAAGTAAAACTTACCTTGTCTGTTCTTGGCAAAGACAGTGGCTACTTCCACCTGCAGTCCATTACCAGCAGCAGGAAAGACTCCTTAGAGCAAAGAACAATAGTCACCTGAGAAACCCTTATTTGAGTTCTCTCCTTTCAGCACAACTGGGTCATGATATTGAGACAAAGCTCTGAAAATCTAGCTTGGTTTCATTTTCTTTTCTCACCCCTTTTCCGTTTCTCTTGTGAAGCAGTCTTCACACAATTTTGTGGGGGGCTGAGATTGACCTAATAAAAGTATTAATCCTATTACAGGTTTTGGAATTTGGACCATAGTTATTAAGGCTTTGGGGAGGGATGGAAGCTGTTAGAAAGGTAGTAGAGGCGAATGTATGGTTCAGTGGTGTCGTAGACAGTATTAATGCCTTATGTCAGTCTAATGCTAAACTGAGCTTAGCTTGGACATGAAAATTTCCTCCATGATGTTTCTAAGGGTCACCCTAGAAGAACTGTTGGATAATAGCTCAGTGGCTTAGGTATCCGGATGCGGAGCCAGAGGTTAGAAGTTTGATTCCCTACTGTGCCTCCTTGACAGGTGCTCAACTTGATCATTCATATGTGTTATTCCAGTTCTGCAGTTCTAAGATGATGATGATGATTGAGACAATATGCACATATTGTGCTATTAAAAAAAATGTCAATCATCTGTTCTGGATACTTATGGAAATGTGCTGCCATTTTGTGTGCTAAATACCGCCTGCTTCAAGGCTTGAAAAGTTACATTTTGAACTGCAGCTCCCAAAATCCCTGAGCTAGCTTGATCATGGTGGCTGGGGGAATTCTGGGAGCCGTAGTTCAGAAAAGCAACTTTTTTTTGAACACCTGATCTTCTTGGTGCTGAACCTGCCTCCCAAGCTAATACCATTATGCAGACTCTGTGGGGGAGGACAGACTTGCATTGATAACTCGGCTGAAATCAAAAGCTGGAGGAGACAAGAGGTTAACTGCCCCAGCAAGCCACACTTTCTGGGCTAAAGCAGAAATGGGCAGCTGTTTTGGCAACAGCTTAAAACTCTTTAGGAGAGAACAGTGGCATTATCCTTCTGTCACTCCTCCCACCAGGTGAGGAATCCTCCTTAAATTGGAATTTCCCTATGTTTTTGCATTTATAACATGCAACGTGTCTGAGAGATGTTTGGCTGTCAGTTGAACAAACAAGGTAATGGGGAGGCCTTTAAAATCATTGCCAGCAGCGACACGACACTTTTTAATCAGCCTCTGCTTTCATCATCTCCTTCTAAGTGAATTGCTAACTGGCACAGTAATCTGTCAGATCCGGTTAAGCAGAAGCCAGTGAATTAAAAATGCAGCTTACTTTTCTTGTTGGCAGGTCCTTCCACACGGGAGAGGCAGAGGCATGGCAGGCCAGATGGGCCGAGGACGCCTGATGCCAAACAAACAGAATCTGCGAGTGGTAGAGTGCAAACCTCAGCCCTGCGTTGTGTCAGTTGAAGGGCTTTCTTCATCAACTACGGACGTCCAACTGAAAAACCTGCTGATGTCGGTAGGACCCATTCAGGTAGATCACCCTAGGCTTGTGTTAACTCGTGCCAGAAATCTTTCATTCTACAAAGCTTCCTGTCTCTGATAAGAGAAGTAAAGGGGGTGCTTTTAGCAATTAATTACATATATTCAGGGATGCTCCCCTATTGCGCCTGAAAGGAAAAGACTCCTTAGAGCAAAGGATGATAGTCAGCTGCAGCACAGTGAGCATGGTAGAGTATCATTCATCTCATTTTATTTTGTCTCATGTAGCTCTCTCGTGGTAGTTCCAAAACTCCAGTGAGCTTGCAAGAAAATACTGTGACGGCAAAATGGTGCTTCCATCCAAAGAGAATGTTTTGTTAGAGAAGTGAGTCCTTTGGTGAATAATGAGTTCTGTACTTCCTGTACAATGGTGCCTCGCAAGATGATGTTAATTCATTCCGCGAAAAACGTCTTGTGAAAACATTGTCTTGCGAAATGTGGTTCCCCATTGGAATGCATTGAAATCTAATTAATGCGTTCCAATGGGGAAAAAATCGTCTTGCAAAAATCGTCCATAGAAAACATCGTCTTGCGAAATGCGGTTCCCCATTGGAATGCATTGAAATCTATTTAATGCGTTCCAATGGGGAAAAATCATCGTCTTGCAAAAATCGTCCATATAAAACATTGTCTTGTGAAGCGCCACAGCAATCGCAAAAACCAATCATCTTGCAGATTAATCGCCCTGCGAGGCAATCATCTTGCGAGGCACCACTGTACTTGTTTATTAGCTCTTGACAATTCTCAGGTGCAGGAATTGGCAACATAAGGACTTGTCTGGAAGATTGTGACCTTGTTTACACACCCACATGTGGTGAGCTGAGAATCATGGACTGCAGCAGATCTTCTCATTGTGAATACCCAGGTTATAGAAGCAGCTTAGATAGCAGTGTGGTTCATGGGCTGCCTTTTTTAAAAGGCCCCGGAGCTCCTGGACCCCCACATTTCCTCTTTCCCTATAAGAATTGTTTCCAGGAGGATGATACAGATAAAGTGTGCCCCACCAACACCTTGTTTTAACAAACTAGTTTCACATTGAAAAGCTAGCACCACTGCTAGAGTTTGCCCACCCCTGTAATAAAGACATTAATTTCAACAGGGAAGGATTAGAGATGACCCTGCAGGGAAATGATGATGGGGTTGTGTGGTTCAATATGAAGGGAACAGAGAGGGAAAATCAGAGGTTGAAAATACTACTTTTTGAGGTTACAATTGAAAAAAACCCAACAATAAACAGGTTGGGAAGCACTGGTTTAAGGGGTAGCAGCTTGTAGAATGTCCTAAATAGACTGTATATAGCTCAAGTAGTGTTTGTTTATTTAAAATATTTATGTTCCACCTTTCTGCCAAAGGATCCAAGGCTGCTTACAGTGTTTAAAAGAAACAGTTAAAAACCAAATAATAAATTATTATAATACTGAAAAAGCATTGAACAACTATCATCTTAAAACTCATAGTAAGAACAATATTAAAAACACAAATAAAACACAGTATATAGAATAGATGCCCACTGATTGCCAACTTTTGCGCTGATCATCTAGGGAATAGCAGTATCAAAGCTCTGACAAAGAAGTGGTAGGGGAACTTGTTCCCTGCTGGGTCTGTCTGTGTCTCGATAAGGATGCTGAGCAAAGCCTTACCTTGGTACATTTTAAGTGTCTGGAGATGAAGGTTTATCCATACTGTATTTCCTTTGGTAATAGTTTGCCCTCTGCCTCCAGCTGCACAGAGTTTTAGTTTTATGCACTTAAAATGTGCCTGTGCTCTCCAAGTCATGCATTCTGCTGTCTCTTTCAGTATTAAAAGGTTAGTCTAGCTGATCTGTACAGCAAATGGAAGAAGAGGAAATGACATCATTCCATTTTCAGAGCTTAGGGCAAGTGAAACAGCCTTCGAGAATACATTGAAACAGATCACTTTAACTGGTCACAGATATCTGGGAGTTTTCCTTTGCAGGCTGCATTGAAAAATGGATGTTCCCATTCACAGATCATTGGGATACAGTGGTGCCTCGCTTAATGACGATAATCCGTTCCAGGAAAATCACTGTTAAGCGAAAACATCGTAAAGCGAAAATTAAAGCCCCATTGAAACGCATTGAAACCCGTTCAGTGCATTCCAATGGGGTAAAAACTCACCGTCCAGCGAAGATCCTCCATACGGCGGCCATTTTTGCTGCCTAAACACATCGGGGATCCATTTTAATTACCTGGTGGCCATTTTGTAACTGCCGATCAGCTGTTTAAAAAAAGATTGTTTCGCGAAGAATCAGTTCCTGAAGCAGGGAACCGATCATCTCAAAGCAAAATTCCCCCATTTAGACCATTGTTTTGCAATCACAATTGCGATTGCGAAAAGATTGTCGTAAAGCGGATTTGTCGTAATACGGGGCAATCGTAAAGTGAGACACCACTGTATTCTCTGTAAGAAACATCTTGACCAAGAGGCTTGTCCAGGAAGCATGCTGATGGCTTGTGTTCTTCCCCTCCTCTGTTTAAAAGTTGTGTATGTGCATTATCAGCGAAAGTAAAGTAATGTAACAAAAATTAATAAGAATCCACAGTACTCTTGATCTTCCTGTTTTTTGGGGGGAGGGTATCCTCAGAAGGGGTGGCTTGTTCTGATGTTTCCTAGAAGAGTCCTGATTCCCAAGGTACTGCTGGACAGGTTTTGTCCATATTTGCATATATGCTTTGCTAGCCATATGGGTAGGTTGTGAAGGAATTCTGCCACAGCTGAGATATTAGGAAGTGTGGACTCCAGCTGTGCCTTCCACAGTATTAAGTAGCCTCTGTCGGCATAAGAAGCTTTAGATGAGGCATCCGGAATGTTTTGCTGGGCAGGCAGCTTTCTGCAGTGCATCTTTATGGACTGGGGAATATATAGGTGGAGGTGCTACAAAATGCCTCCCCCAGCTAGCAACATCATTCACAGATAGGAGTGAAAATATACAAGTTATTTCCTGTGGAAACAAAATAAAATAAAGAGTAAAAAAGACAAAACATGGTGGGATGAGTGCCTCAGTCCCGTTTTCTGCCGCTGCTGCTGCAGCAACGCAAACGGAGCTTGTTGTGTTTTTCTCACTTACTCTTATCCTCTAAAATCTCTTACAGACCTCCCTGTGTTTTGACTTCAGCATGTTTGACCCTTCTTCTGAATTGCAAGTGTATCTGAAAGCATAGAACTGATTTTGAAAGCTTTAATTTTATGGCCACGTCGGGGCTTTTCAAACACTGCTCATCCTGCAGTGGTAAAGTGCCTCTCTTAGATGGGTACTCACAGTGTTTGTTTTGCCTCGATGAGGAACACCAGCCTGCCGTTTGCAGTTTCTGCAAAGCGTTTACGAAGCGCACTCTGAAGCAGAGGCTTCAAAGACTTAGCTCCCATTTGTGGGGAAAATCTCTATAACCTTCTCGGGCTGTTATGGACCCGCCGTGGGCTCCTCCTTCCAAGGCTTCTTTATCTACAGGTCGTCCGTCTGAAGTTAGGAAGTCCGCAAAGTCAGTGTCTTTGGGCTTGAGGTTGACGGCTTCAATGTCGACATCGAAGCCTCCCTCGGGCTCGACACCAAAGAAGAAAAAGAAAAGTTCTTCTAAGTTGACCACGTTGTCAACTCTGCTTTTGCCGCCAGCATCGGTGTTACATCCCTGGCGAGGACTGATCACGGCTATGCCTTTGAGAGATGAGGAAATTCTTCCCTTGGGGTCAGAGTTGCTTGCCTCCCCCTGGCTAAGTCTCTCTCCCGGGCCTGCTCATTACTTGGTTGAGGTTCAACCAGAGACTCGCACAAGCCCTGGATCTCCTCCGGGTGTGGTTGCTGAGCCGCCTCGCAAGAAAAAACAGAAAACCTGACACCTCGACCTGAGCCCGATCGAGCTAGACATTGACCGCCGGTAGGAGGTCCCTCCGCTTATCTGGAATATACGTACCCTCCTTGGGATGACCCACATAATGCACATACAAAAGGGCTACTATCCACTGAGAAGCTTCAGCTTTAACAGCCCTGGATTTCCGTTGCCTTTCGACCCAGCCTCGTTCTACAGGGCTCGACATTGGCCACCTTACTACAAGATTTTCCCATCTCCTTGATATCAGACATATGCAGAGGATTGTTTCCGTCATCCCAATGAGTGCCCTGCTTATCTTCCGGGTTGGGACCAAGCAAGCTGGTCTCCGAGGGACCTGCCATCGGCTTCTGGCACTAAAGCCCTGCCGTCGGGTCCGGTGTATGAATCTCGACATCGTACCAAATGTGTACCTATTCCGCCTCCATCTCCTGCGCTTTCCGTGCGGTCTGAGGAGGATTACTTCATTGATGATCTAGCTGGCCCAGCTTCTGAGCTCAAAATGCCTCAGGCTTGAGTGTCATATACAGTGGTGCCTTGCATTATGACGTTAATTCGTGCCAGTGAAATCGCTGTCTTACAAAAACAACATAATGCAAAATTAAAAAGCCCATAAAAACTCGATTAATGCATTCCTAGGGGCTTGAAACTCACCATCCAGCGAAGATCCTCCATAGCATGGCCATTTTCGCTGCCTGTGCAGCGAGGAGTCTGTCCCAGAAAAGAGCGGGGAGCCATGGTTTTTACCCAGCGGCCATTTTGAAACCGCCGATCAGCTGGCCGAAAATCATCACTTTGCGAGAATCAGTGCCCGAAGCATGGAACTGATCATCACAAAGCGAAATTCCCCCATAGGAAACATAGTTTTGCAATCGCTTTTGTGATTGCACAACCTTCAACGTAAAGCGATTTTGTCGTAAAACGGAGCGCTCGTAATGCGAGGCACCACTGTACTTGCTCCCCGGACTGAGACGTCGGTTTCAGCATGGACTTCAGTGAGAATGAGGGTGAAATTAGGGAGGACTCCCCTCTAAATCTTCTTACTCCAGCATCAGATGTGGTCGGGATCCACCCTCCTTCCCTGTCAGAGTACTACACTGCCTACTCCCAACTCATCAAGCGAATTGTGGAGGCGCTGGATCTTACT